AGCGTGCAAGTGGGGGAGAGGCAGAGAGAGAAGGAGAGAAAGAATCCCAAGCAGGCTCTGCACTGTCAGCACAGAGCCCAATGAGGGGCTTGATCCCAGGAACCGTGAGATCATGACCTGAGCCAAAACTAAGAGTCGGACACTCAACAGACTGAGCCACCCAGGGGCCCCAAGTTGCTTAATTTTTTAAATGGCTACATTTTATAATCTTTTTAAAAATTTATAGTTGTCATTTTAACTTCCATTTTTTGCTTAATATAATTCACTTAGTAAAAATTACTGTTGTTTCAAAACAGTGACAGCACATTTTTTCTAAACTGAGAAATTAACTTAATGGTAAAAGAGAACAGAAGCTTCATCTCAAGTATATAATTTTGAATTCAAGGTCTAGAACTATGAAAAGCTAACTTGCCCAAATTTCTGGTCCTTATTACCTTTCTGGGAACAATATTTCAATCACTGTATGTCTAAGGTTTGACCTGAACTTCCTAAGTTCAAAACTAAGTTCTCCTAGGTTCATAAAATATTGTTACAACCTCTCACCTAATTTGCTGCAATTAAAATCCCAAATTCCAATCTCAGTCAAAAATGAAGCTATTATATCACATTTCATTCACATTATTCATCAAGCAATCAACACTTATTGAGAGCCAGCTACTGTTGGTGCAAGGGTCAAACTTAAATTTAAGGTTCTGAGGCATGAAGAGTCTTTATTTCAGGTCTCCACAGAGGAAAGTTCAAACAGATAAACATATTGCTTCGATTATGATCATCACCTCCAAGTCCCCTTTATTTGCTGCATCCTTCATCCTGTTCTACATATTCAGGGGACATTTATTGCTCATTGGCTGCTCCGTATCTTTTTCCTTTCCTGTTTGCAAAAGACCCCAACTTCTCTGAAGGGGAACAACTTCTCCCCCACTGTGAGGGGTTTTGGAAGGAGTTGGTTTTAAAGCAAAGTTCCCTGCTCTCCTCTAGCTAAGAGTTGGGTTTGTGACCCAGTCAAGGTCAACTGGATTCCCTTCTCCAGGATTTTGCATTCTGAAGAGTTACACAGTATGCAGAAAAAAGAGTCACAAAGACACTCGAGCAGTTCCTACAGACCAGATGCCCAGGCACGCTCAGTATCTTGTCTTTCCTAAGCCTTTTTCCACTGACTCCATGCCAGTTCCAGCACATTGACTTTCTGCTTGATTCAATCAGAGGATGTTTTCTGTTGCTTACATCCAGAGAACCCTATTGATATTCAACTAAACTACACTTGATGATTTTACTTCTTTATTTAAAATCCTTTCAGTGTTGCCACTGCCTGCAGGCTATAATCAAACCCCCTTGTTCTAGCAAGGAAAGATCCCTATTTTTTAGACCCATCCCTCTCTATGCAACAACATCAATTTCTTCCCCACCCCCTTAATTTCAGCCATTTGGAATCGTAATTTATATAACACACTACTCTGTTTTCCGCCTCAGTGAAAAGTGTGGCTCGTTTCTTCTGCCAGGATTACCTTTCCCTTTTTATTTACCTGATTAATGCCAGCTTGTTCTTTAATACTTGCCTTGAATGTTATGTTCTTCAAGAAGCTTTTCCTGACAAGAGAAGCTCTTTTCTCTTCCCTGGCTTAGTCAGATGTCCTCTTCCTGAAGTAAGTCCCTAGAGCATCTCCCAGCCATGCCCAAGGGGGCAGAAAACTATGGTGGTTAAGGGTGGGGGCACTGGAACCAGACTGCTTGAGTTAAAATTCTACTGCTATCTCTTTACTACTTGGCTTTGGGCAGGTTATTTAACCTCAATGTGCTTTATTATCAATCTCACAGCGTTGTTGTGAGCATTAGGTAATACATGTGAAGTACTTAAAAGTGACTAGCATATGACTAGTGTTAAATACGTGCTAGGTATTATCCAGAAATTTATTTCTATCATAGTGCTATTTTTGCTCTCTTTCCTTCACCTACTTTAATCTGTGCATTCCTATCTCGCCCAACTCTGTATTTCCCAGGCACTTAGTAGTGGCTCAATAAAAATGTGTTACATGTATATATGAACAAATTAGCACTGATAGTGTTTTGTAGTTTATAAAGTCCTTTTGGAATATTACCTCATTTCTCACACCTCAAGTATTACATTAAGGACTGTTTTATTTACAGTTTTACAAAGAGAAAAATGTTCCTTGATATTATAATAAATACCTCCCCAAACCTATCATTTTATTGTTCATGTACACACACATGCACATACACACACTCACACTTGTTTAATGTTTACTTAGGGTCATTTTACTGGCCAGTTAGTGATTTAAAGCTATAAATTATTTTTTATTATAGAAATTATTTTTTATCAATTATTTTGCATTATTTTTTTAATACAAGGGGAAGAAGCAGGAAAAGCACTCTACTATTGAGCAAGGGAAGAGAATAATATATATAATATTTATATCTATCTATATAAACATGATATACATGATATCTCTATCGTGTGTGTGTGTGTGTGTGTGTGTGTGTGTGTGTGTGTGTATTTAAAAATTCCTGGCTTTCTGTGACCCTAGGCACGGCATTTGAGCTTTTCCTCTGAATTAATTTTGGATCTATATTTAAAGATTATCATTTTGAAGAGGCATCAAATTAGTGGTCATTTCTGAAAAAGACAAACTTATTTTTGTGAAGACTACTGAGCAGGTCGATTCTAAAGAGATCCTAAAGGCGAGGATCACAAACTCTTCACAAGGGAGTGGGGACTTCCTCTTCCAATCTAACACCTAGTGGCTTTTACAGGTGGCCATAACATCAATGGCAGGATGGCCTGTAGATGTGGAAATGAGCTCTTATTTTCATGTAGTATTATTATTTGACAGACAGTCTGCATAATACAAATTCTGTGAGCAGGCAGATTTATAAGCTAATATTAATTACTAACATTAGTTGAGGACTTTTAGTAAGGAAGGCAGGATAGGAAGCGTTTTCCATGCACTACCTAATTCAATCCTCATGACAACTTATAATGCAGACACAGTATCATTATCCACGTTGTACAGATAAACTCAGGTTCAGGGAGGTTGGATAACATACCAAAGGTCACAAAACCATAGTAGAAGGGTCAAGCTTTGAAACCAGACAATCTAACTCCAAGGGCCTTGTCTTAAACATTATAACACGTTGTTTCCTCTGGTTAGTAATACTTCTTGGAAGTATTGGTAGAACTCAACACGATACTGTGAAAGAACATCTCTCTTATTTCTGTATCTATCAGCACCCTGAAATTGGAAATGCATAGCACTGTGTCTGGCATAGACTATGTATATAAAAACATATATGCCACTAACCCGTAGCCACACTTACATGGGTACTGGCAAGCAGTGTATGTAGTTAGAATGTTTAGGCTTAGGAACCAAACAGACTTGGATTTGAATTTTTGCTCTGCTACTTACTAGGAGCATAACATCTCAAAGGCTCATGCTGAAGAATGTATCTACTAATACTTGTTATAAAGGAGTAGTAAAACATCGGGGCGCCCGGGTGGCTCAGTCGGTGAAGCGTCCGACTTCGGCTCAGGTCACGATCTCGCGGTCCGTGAGTTCGAGCCCCGCGTCAGGCTCTGTGCTGACAGCTCAGAGCCTGGAGCCTGCTTCAGATTCTGTGTCTCCCTTTCTCTCTGCCCCTCCCCATCTCGTGCTCTGTCTCTCTCTGTCTCTCAATAATAAATAAACATTAAAAAAAATTTAAAGGAGTAGTAAAACAAATTATACATATTTATATACTAGTTACGTATCTTTATGCACAGACATATCCATCACTATGTGCTGAATACGAATGTGAATCTGTGTGTCCTGTGCCCAGAAAAGGAAAGAGACTGTGGAATTAGTTAAAAAAAAAGTATTCACATCTTACCAAGTGAATAACTTTTACTAATTTTTTCTCATTCAAAGAAAAACAAAAGCAAAAGTAAAGTTTGGATAAGATCTTATTTCCTGGGTCTGTGTCCTAAGACCCAGAGAATTATTTGACCACAATCATGTTATTTGCAAGTAACAAAGAAATAACACTTACTTCAGGTGTCCTGAGTCTAAAATCAAGGTACTTTGGATGCAAATTGTTTACTAGCCAGTTTTTTTATTCCTACTGAATTGCTAAAGTTCACTTTAAAAAAAAAATGTCTGCCTTACTCCTTTTTTCAAAAAGTAGCTGTGTACTAACTAAATATCTTCAAAGAAATTTATTACTTCTGTAGAAAAGATTTGGAAATCACTTAGCAGTGAAATAACTACAGCAAATAAACACTTCAAAATGATTTTTCTTCTTCATTCAAAAATATAAAAGATACATAGTGTATTTGTTCTAGCTAAGTCAACCAGATTTGTACCAATGGATTCCTGGGTTTCTAACTGATGTCATGATTTTGCAGAATGGATTCCAAGAGGCTGAGAAATGCAACCTTTGTGTTAAGAACACATGTATTTGACGATGGCATTGTATAAATTCCAGTATTAACATCTAAAGTATTGAAAAATATATTATGTTTGGTACTCTTCTTTTCTAAAAAAATTATAACTTTCATTTATACTTAACATTAAAGGAGGAAAATCAGCCCAGACAACTGAAAAGAGTGAACAACCAATTCCCAGTTTATTATATTTGATTCTGTAATATATTATGGCTGAAAGCTTCCAAAACAAACAGTTTCAAGGTAAAGAGCTCAGTTGAACTACTTATTAAATAGATTTTTTGAAATACTACTTGTTAAGTGAATTTCATTAAGCCAATTATACTTGTCAAGTTTATGGTTTTTTCCTTGTATCATTCCGTTCTAATTTATGGCTGTTTTAGAAAATGGCATTAACTTTTTTTCTGGATCATCCTCAGGCTGAACAGAGTAGAGACAGTGTGTGGCTGACAGAGAAAACCTGCCTGAAACCTGGTGGGAGAAAGGTCTGGGAGAGTGAACTGACAGGTGGAATTTTTTCCCTTGAAATCACAAATTCAACCAGGCTTTCGTTTTTTCCCCATACCTTCTGCTTGATGATCATTTCGTTGATGTCTTCAAGATCACCCACCATCACCCTCTGTGATTTTATAACTCGATCCAGCAGAGACAGCCAGTCGGTAAGTTCTGTCCAAGCTCGGTTGAAATCTGCCAGAGCAGGCACCTCCAACAGCAAGGAAGATGGCATTTCTAGTTTGGAGATGGCAGTTTCCTTGGTAACCACGGGTTGTGTCACCAGAGTAACAGTCTGACTAGGAGCTAATTTTTTTTTTTTTTCAAAAAGAAAAAAAAAGGAAAGAAAAGAAAAATGAGAAACACAAGCAAAGAAGCCAATGTCAATAACAATAGAACAAGCTTAATTAAAGCACAACAATTTGAGCCGAAGTATTATTTATGACATAACATATTTTTTCCCAGCAATGTGAATACTTTTCACAGGATTACATGATAGGATAATTCAGAGACTCAAACTTTTCATTAACGTACATTGAACAATCGTTCAAAATGATTTTGCTTATTCTCATGGCTGGACAGTTAATTTAATTTCAATAGTCCTCAAATAACAATTCTATAGACTGTGGAATTAGTTAAAAAAAAGTATTCACGGGGCGCCTGGGTGGCTCGGTCGGTTAAGCGTCCGACTTCAGCTCATGTCATGATCTCACGGTCCGTGGGTTCGAGCCCCGCGTCGGGCTCTATGCTGACAGCTCAGAGCCTGGAGCCTGTTTCAGATTCTGTGTCTCCCTCTCTCTGTGACCCTCCCCCGTTCATGCTCTGTCTCTCTCTGTCTCAAAAATAAATAAACGTTAAAAAAAAATTAAAAAAAAAAGTATTCACATCTTACCAAGTGAATAACTTTTACTTATTTTTTCTCATTCAAAGAAAAACAAAAGCAAAAGTAAAGTTTGGATAAGATCTTATTTCCTTGAACGGGAAGTAAATTACTTTGGAGGTGGTGAAAATCTAGCGAAATCAAAGCCAATTAATTTGGGAACAGCTTGTCGTATTTTTTTCCCCTGTTCTTTCAGACTGGTCATAACATGACTGTCAGTGGAGAAAACCCAAGCTACATTATTTTTGGTAAACCAGACCTAATAGAATTTTTTTCTCTGTGATTCTTTACCACAACACTGTGGTCTGGGCAGGGAGATCATCATTACCACCAATTTACACAAGGTGAAACCAAAATTTGGGAAAGTTAAAATACTTCTCCAAAATCAAAATCTACTAAGTTAGATGGAAGTTTCCAAACAATCTATATTTTAAGAATGAAGGCTCTCAGTTGAGTGATTAAAAGGGAATTCACAAAAAAATAGGTAGCCCGATTAAAAATCTGCCAAGGACTTGAATAGACATTTCTCAAAAGAAGACCTATGATTCGCCAACAAGCACAGGAAAAGCTGCTCAACATCACTCATTATCAGGGAGATGGAAATCAAAACCACAGTGAAGTATCACCTCACACTAGAGTTTCATCAGGCAGAACAAAAACAGAAACCATTAGCTGCAATGTAAATGAAGCAGTATTAAGTAGCCATAAAATGTAGATTCTTCTGTACTGAATTTATAATACTTGATATTGGTATAGAACTTTCAGCAGTGTAAAAGTGTCTTTTCAGTAATTTTTCTACTTGGAGTGGAGTAGTGTGGAGCACTATTGTATAAGATGGCACATGATAATGGTTAAAATCCAAAGGCGGACTCAATGGCTAAATATATGAAAAGTATATAAAACAGTGCCAGAAAATAACAGCAATATCAGCACAGTTTCTGACACTGGCAGGTAATAATGTTAGGTATTACTATTTTCATCAACACTTGATAAAAAAGAGACATAGAGATGAACAAATACAGTGAGAAGTTGGAGATAAGGGGTAGAAATATGTGAAATATTTGGGAAAACCTCAAAGGTTTGTATGTGGCTCTGTATTTACTAAAGGGGGCTGAGCTTGCTGGTGTGAACTGATATTAAACACCCACAAACAGCCACACAGCGGGGGGATGGAAGCTAACTGATGAGGGGTACAGAAGGCCTCATCGAGTTTAAAATCGGTAGCCTCTGAAGCCCACTACATCCAGGAGACCGGCAGCAGAGAAATAGCGGATGACATAGTTTAAAGGGACACTTTGAGAGAAAGCTGCAAATGACAACACCTCAACATGAGACCTGAGAATCATGGACAAGAAGGGACAAGTGGGCCATGTGGGCATTCCATTCTAAGGTAGCCATAAATCAATTTTCATGTACTTCGAAAGCTGTCTTCTTGTTAGAGAAGATGATGAGGGAGACTGGAGGGATGTCTCCTGTGTCTCCAGCTTTTCAGGGACAACAAGAATTTCCTACAGATGGAAGAAATAATCTTGAACCAGGCAGAAAGAAAGAAAAAAAATGTAGGGTGTCAGATAGAATCAAAATTAATGTCAAGACATAATGATTGAAAAAACAATTATACTGAGGAGAAAAAGAAATTGTTTCTTGAATCTATCTTGCTACTCTCAGGCTCTTTCTAGAAAGAGTGACATATAATCTGCAGCAGAAATAGCATCTTGTGATCCAACACTCTAGTAGGAAGCATGGGGTCCAAGAAGATCGAAAAATCTTAAACGGGATTCCAAGAGATGAGGCGAATCCCTGAAGAGGATGCATGGGTGAGGATGAAAAAAAAAAAGCTAAATTAAAACATTACTGTGGGAGCTTACTGCTGAATGCCTAGCTGACTAGAAAAGATGGACAATTTGTTCTGAAAATAGATACACAACAGATACTGAGGTAACATACAGTACTTTGGGATGGTTTCAAGGTTCTGGGAAGTGTCAGACAATGTTTTTTTGTTTTTGTTGTTTTTAACTCGACTTATTGAAAATCTAACCCTCAAAAGAGCAGGAAGGGCATTTGTTTCTTTCTAGATTTACTTTTGGCCAACAAAGAAGTACTCAAGGAAGTGGAAATGGTCATGTCCTCTGAAATCTCCATACAGTGAAAGATGAGAATACAGACAATTATCAGATTTCTCAACTGTTTTGAAAAAAAAAAAAAAAAAAGTCTACTGAAAAGAAAGGCTGGGGCCAGAGACTTGAACAACAGAGAACGATTCAAGATGATGAAAAAGTACAGACAAATGACATTGGGATGATAATATCACAAAGTTCTCTAATGAGGGGTAAAAAAAGAAGTAACACCAAGTACAAAGTCAGCTGAAGCAGATTTAGAGGAAGGTTGAAAGGTCAGCAACATAGCCATGTGTGTGCCAGCCATGGGCAGATGATCTCATTTATGGACCAGTTGGGCCCTTCCTTGCTGCTCTGCTCTCCCCCAGCACTCAACATCTGAAAACTCTATCAGAGCGGGAAAGGGAGGGGAAATTGGGTCCCCCATGTTCATGCCTCTAGCTCCTGTACTTTGACAGGTCCTGGAATACAGTAGGTGCTCAAATGATGTCCTCTGAATAAATGAATGAATCTAAAGACACAAATCGATGCACATTAAGCTTTTCAGTAAACTTAGGGGCCTTCTACCTGTGGGGAGCTCTAAAAGACAACAACAACCTTGAAGGATGGTTTCTCGAAGACTAGAACACAGAACGTCCCTAGGCTCTCACTCTTAACCATTCGCAGAACAAGAAAATTAGAGCCACTGCTTGGGGTAGACAATGGGAGGTCAAATATTAAAGAGAGAAAATAGAACCAATCAATTTTTTTGTTCCCCATTTTTCTATCAAGGTGGGGGTGGATAAAAGGCAGGAAAGAACACAGGATCAAGAAGCAAAGTGTAAAACAAACTATCTAGGGCCAGACTGTTGGATTTAAATCCTCACTCTGCCATTTCTTAGCTGCTAACCCTAGGCAGGTTACTTAAGCTTTCTGAATGTCAATTTACTGCTCTGTAAAATGGCAATTATAATAGTACTTCTCTCACAGACAGCTGGCATTAACATTTCCTAGATATACAAACTTGGATGTGATTACAGGCATTTTGAGGCAAGGGATTATATCATGCTTGGTAAACTGAACTTTTGTGAGCCTCAGAGTATTCACCTACATAATGGGAAAGAGAGCACCAATCTCATGAAATTGTTCTAAGTATTTTATGAATTGATATATGTAAGTCATCTCCTAGCATTCTTCTGACAGGAGGTGCACTGTGGGTATGTGTTTTCTTCTCCTTTTCATTTTGCTGCTCAAACAACGTTTACTGGCTCCTGATTTCCTAAATTAGCATGCCATTCTGGACTCTGGGCTCTTTGAACTAGAATTCACACACCAGCCTCTTCTTCCTCCATTCTTCCCTTCCTCCACCCCAGTCTCTATTCAGTATTCTCCAATGAGCACTGGCCATTCCACACTTTTGTGCCTTTCTCTGAAAACTCTCCTCTCCCTTCCCGAGATGAATATTCCATTTCCTTTTCCAATCACAACTCTCGATTTCTGTGATTTATGGAGAGCCAGGATAAGCCAATAGCCAAAACGTCCCCATGAGGCACAGAATTACACTATTCTTTGGGGTCTTAAACATTTTCAAGTCTTCAACATTTCACTACTTAAATCTCATCATCAGTAAGAAGAACAAAATCTTTTATCTTTATTAGGTTTTTGTTTGTTTGCTTGCTTAGTCGCTAGAGGGTAGTAATTGATAGTAACTGAGAGCTGGATTCTAAACTAAGGCTAATTTCCATCTAGTTCACATTTTATTAGGGCCAATTCTATCTAGAACACTATTTGAAATATTTCACTTTTCCTAAAAAAGACTTGCTTCTAGATCCACGCTCACACACAAACACACACACACACACACACACACACACACACACACACACATTTTATTAAGCAAGATGTTTCAAAGGAGAAATTTTGAGGTCCTGAGAACATCTTATTTTATGATGCATATCATATTGATTCATACTACATTTTTAGGTGTCGTTACTTTTATCTAAAAAGAAAAAAAAATGAAGTTTCTTCTTTTCCCCTGTCATGCTACTTGAAACATAAGCAAATCACTTCGTTAGGTGAAGTATGGACTGGTCAGATCTGCAACGGAGTGGTTCCAAGTGGTTTTTCCCAGACTGAGCAACAGAATCTTGACTCTAAGGGTCAGGCAGGGATATTAAGTCTTCCCAGAGTTTTCCAGTAACTCCAGAATTTAAAAGACAGAAAGAGAATTTGTTGAGAGTTCTCTCAACTCATAATCCT